CGGGAGCAGGACTATGGATTTATCGTACGAAAGCCTCGGTACCGCCCCATTCAACGCTTGAATACGACGCATTAGCATAATGAAAGCTTGGTCTTCTTAAAAAGGATTTCAAACACCCTCGCGGTCGAGATTCCGTTGAAATGTGGCGTGAATTTGTCTGCGAATATTTAAATATTATATTCGAGTTTATCTACTTTGCGCGGAGAAAAGTAAACGTCTGGTTTAGTTGTAAATTTGATGTTTTGTGGAAATGTTTAGTAAAAGATTTATACCTTGAGATATAGATATTTGTATTTATTTTTCTTCCTTTTATTATAATTTAGTCTTCGAAGCAACAAAGGAACTAAGTACAATCCATGGTAACCTACTTAGTGTGAAAATTATCTGATGTGGACCACACTTATCTTTACGCAATGTATGGTTGCTAAGCTAAGTGCGCTATTGAAGGATAAACTGCTTTAACGTTGACCCACTATTGAACAAAACGATAAAGAATTATTTTTTTATTTTATACAGTTATAGCCTAGACGTCCTAAAAATGTAGAAACCAAAAATATTGCCTGGATCGTGTAACACAAATACTTTTTTATGCAATTGCGGCTTTTTATGCAGTTTTAACAATCTAACAACCCCATTCTAAACGTACCTTTTGAGTACTCTACTGAAAGCTGTGAACTAAAAAGTTACGAGAGAATTTTAGTTAATTTACGACTTAACTTTAAGTCTCGGCTTACCTTGTTTACGCACGTCTACTAACGTTAATATCTCAATTTACATAGAACATCGTATATTAAACGTAAGTTTCCACTGCCGAAGCTTCTGTATAAAACATATTATTATCTGCTTTTCACATTGAGAGAACACGTACACGCTTTGTACGTATTTTCACAAAACACATGTTTGAGAAGCGTATGTTTTGATATACTTATTTTTTGAGTCAACTGCTTTATCGATTAAAAGTAGGCATCTGCAAATGCGGATATTTATGGGCAATTCACTTCGCTATTTTGTCGAATTTAGGTAACCGCTTGCTGTTTGCCACTATTTACTATAAAAACATAAATCTTTTTCTTTCAGATATTTATTTATTAGTTATAAAAAGATGTAAATGTATTCAAATGCAACCTAATTGGTTGAGAATTACTAACAACTAGGCGCTTGTTAATTTGAATACTTCTATAAATAAAATAAAATATATTACGAGGAAACGAAGTATAAAATGTTATGTTTATTTTATTGACAATATAGATATTGTTTACGTTCCTTGTGACGCAGAGAGTACAGATATTATATTTTATTTTAGCACATACTATTCTGTGAAAGACGTCGCTTTGAACCATTTCTACAAAGCTGTAGATGGATTTACTATTGTACCTTTAGCATCGATACGTTTGTTAAAGGCCTGATACGATTATAAAAATGTACATTTAAGGTAGTAGAATATTTTATTTATTCCTCTATACGATTGATTGAAAATATGTAAATAATTTTAGGTCGAAATCTAATCTTAGTACTTAATGTTATAAATGCGAATGTTTAGTTGGATGGATGTTTGTTATTACGTATCTCCGGAACGGCTAAATGGATCTTGTTGAAATTTGGCATAGATCTAAAACTTAGTTTGGAAGTTAGATTGGTTAATAATTAAGTTATTTTTAACTCCGCACTGATATTCGGAAGTAGTTTGTTGTATAGTCGCAAAACTATTGAATCAATTTTGAATATTCTTGTTCAGAAAATATAAAATAATAATTTAGGATCTCTCGTTATTGTCATACTTTTTAGTATAATTACATAATACCTGGTCAAGTAACAATTAATTTGTATTCACATTTCATCTTCTGGAACTAAATTAGGTAAACTACTAATTTAAATTAAAGGACGTTTAACGAGAGCGGAATAATAAATTGCCAAGAGATTATAAAAGTTTTTTTTTTAATATTCAAGGGTTAATAACTACTAAAATAAGAAATAAAATACGTCAGTATTATTAATTTTGTGTACGAATATATATTTTTATACAGTGAAATAAAATTAGCAAAAATCTATGCATTTTTTATTTCCTCTTTAATTGAATAATTGACGAAGGATTGTGTACAAAATAAGTCGCACTCTACTCTCTCTACGTTTTGATATCAAGTTTAAAAATTACTTACATCTTCACCGATTTTTCCCCGCGAAAATATGATTTTCCCAAGCGGCATCTTTGGCATGGGCAGTTTAGATTCGAGTCCCAGTCTGTACCACATCGGCAAACCATTCTTTGGGACGGCACTAACAGGCTTAGGTACTGATTCTATAACTTTTTTCAACTCTGTAGGTTTTCTCAGCATCATCAGTGCTATATTAACTTCCGATGTATTATCCGCCGCGAATTCTGAAGTTTTAATAGACGACATCTTTTTAATGTTTTATGTAAAATTATATAAAAATAACCTAAAAAATTGTTGAACAAAGCGCGCGTTTGACGTTACACCGAAATACAGAAACTGAAATTTCACATTTTGTACGTGACGTTCGTATTCAGACGTCCGGTTGGCGTTGATTGCTTTTTAATTGCGATGCAAAATGGCCAGTGCGAAATATAAAGTTCACGTTCCTGTAGTTTATATTACAGTGTATTGTTTGTCCATGAATGCATACTGTACTCTGATATTTAGATATATACTAGCTGTAGCCCGCGACTTTGTCCGCGCGGAATTAAAAAAACCTGATTAGCCTATGTGCTTTTCCAGGCTATGTTCTACATCTATGCCAGACTTCAGCAAGTTCCATGCAGCCGTTCCGGAGATACCTTCAAACAAACATGCATCCATCCCAAATTTCGCATTTATAATATAAGTATGAAATATTAAAAATAAACGTAACATATACAGACAATATATAATAATAAAATAAATGGTTTTACGTTAAGTATCGCAAAGACAGGATCACGAAATACACTGCAATTTTATTCTCTGTTAACATATTACTACAAAAAAACTTTACCGCTACCCCCAACCCATCGACAAAAGGAATAGGAGGTTATATTTTTAATAACGCAAACCCGAGCAATATTCCCTCACATCGGCAAGATCGCAATAACATCGCTATAGGATTCCACTTTCACCACTCACCTCAAATTGGTTTATCCACAAATTCAGATATAACTTTATGAACTTCAATATATTGACTTGATCCAATTGAATTTTTTATCAAGAAAATATGATAAAACAAAATTACATATTAAATCGTACGTGTTACTTTTGCTATCAGTTATATTATTTTAATAAAAGAGGAATGAATTAGTAGCCTATGTGTTCTTTACAATGGTAGAGCCCGCTTTAACATCTTCGCACGAGTTGGCCCGGTTCGCCCGGTGAAATACCACGACCACAGATAAGAAAGGCGTCAAGTGGAAGCAATTCCGCGTTTCGTCTTCTGAGTGTGCGTCCCGGAGGCCTCATTTAGTCCTCATTCCCTTCCTACCCTTTTTCTTATAAGGAAAGGATGGGAAGTGGAAGTGGACTTTCCGGATGAGAGGATGCATTGAAAGGGAATATATTTTTTTTCTGTGCATCCTCTCCCGCCGTTTATAGGTAGGCAACGCATATGCAGTAGCGTATGTCTCTACAGGCAACGGTCACTTCGAATGAGATCCATGAAACCATTTTGGAGATACCTTATAACAAATATCCATTCATCCATCCATCCAAAAATTCCCATTTATAATATTAGTAAAATAAGAATTATCCAATAGGTATGTTAGATTAGTAGCTGAATTAGCACTTCTTCAATAACACTATAATATTTCCTGCTATCAAGTTCTGCTTACGGATATGACGGACTGAAAATGACAATAGAACAAAAAAATTATATAGTAATATAATAGGTTAGTTAATAAAGTAAATACTAAAAGTAGTAGATCATACAACGTAAATGCGCGAAGTAACTAAGAAAACTAACAGAACGTTGTTAGAAAACTCTTCAATCAATCAAGTTATCGATAAAAGCAAAGTTTACTCACAATGTGAGTGTTTGTTCGTCTCATTTGCAATATAATCATCATCCTGTATATATTTTTAGTAGCCTTTGCCCGCGACTTCGTCCGCATGGAAATAAAAAGAGAACTCAGTAATTAGCATGCGTGTTCTTCCAAACTATATTGTACATCTGTGCCAAATTTGCTTGTTATCCGTTTAACTGTTGTGGATAGGTTATAACAAATATCCATCTATCCTTTTTTCTGCATTTATAATATTAGTAAGAAGTATCATCTTCTCTTTGTTTTTCTCGTGAACGCTTAGTAACGTTAGAAAAGTTTTTATAACGTGATTTTTATAATCCATTGTTGAAAGTAGTTAAAATTCATGAAAGAAACGCTTCGCGTTCAATAATGCAGTTAACGCGGCTGAAGTGAATTGAAGTTATACGTAGTTAGTTATATATACATATTTTAAGGAAATCAACACTTTTTTTAAGCAAAATACAAATAAACAAGTTTGTTACGATGATGTAAGTCCGGCCTCGCTGAGATTTGGTTCATCCTGATATTAATTACAAGTAAAGTAAATATATTATTTCTAACGAACATTCAGCGGGAAAACATCATTAACCACGCAAAACTTTTTAAATATTCTACCTCTCTGTTAATTTCTGAACAAAAAATAAATAAAACTATTAAATGTGAGATTGTAAGTTTCAAATAAATTAATTTTTCGTAGTCGAATTTTCTGGAATTTACTGGCCAACTTATTATTAACTCTTTGGAGTGAATGTTAGTCTAAAAATGCTATGCTTCAAAAAAAGTGAAATGTATCTATAATTGGAGGCACTAGGCGTGAAGGTGCATTGCATTGCATTTGAGATGTACATCGGCTCCTGTTTTCAGTTGGCGAGTAACTCCTGCAAGGGTGATGTCGCGGTTATAATATGTCAGTGCGCGGTTTGTGTAGAAATTGCGCAGAGAGGCGGCGCGGTCGCGGCCGCGGTGACGAACGAGCCGTATAGCGTCAGACGAGTCCGTACGCCCGCGCGCACCACGCGTCCCGTGAGCCCGCCCGCTCTCGAACTAGCCCGCCGCTCGTCCCGTGTGTGTGTATCACTGAAAAACTACTCTACGCATATCAAACTGCACCAACACATATCTAAACAAAGTTTGTGACTACTCCACCCACCGGATCACAGGTTAAAATACAACAGAGAGAGAGCGCACAAAGTTTTTATCAAACTTTTCGCTCGTACATGTCGCACTGCGCGTATTATAAACAAATCGAATGCGTTCGATGTTTATTACATTTGTTTTGTAAAAGGTTAAGTTTGTTGAACTGAGTTTTGGACGCACGCGGCTTCATGGTGACGTCAAATGCAACGCTAACTAGATTAGATACGCTTAGCTAGCTCTGCAAACGTTCCAGTACCAGTGTTGTTCAGAGCGCGGAGGACGCTGTATGCAAATAACTAGTTTCAGTCGTAATTTTCATTCATAAAGTAACAGATTCAAAGGGCCTGATCCGAGAATCGAAGCAGTGTTATCGGTGGCGTACCACTTTCGACGACGTTTTATAAACACGAGTTTTATTTATAGACGAGTCCTGAACGCATTCGTCCGATCTCGCCTTTGTTGACACATTTGACGTATTAATTATTATTTAAATACACATGAGAAGTAAAGCAATTTTACAATATGCGTATTTTATTTTAACTACGATATTTGCTTGATAAATATTAGCAGGTAATATTGAAAAGGCGACAATCGTGATTATTAAAACAGTACATTGGTTTAACTTGTTGACGGTATGGCGTTTGTATAAACACTATTATTGTATAATAAACTACTTGGAGATAATATTTCGCTTAGCGCATAAATGCATTACAATATACCTAAAGTTATTCTTGTAATGCATCCAGCGTTAGTAATACATGTTTAAAAATATGTTGCTACCAATTTAGACAGATTGAGGGACCGGAAACTTCGAGTTATGGAAAGTAAAAAAGGAGAATTTATATTAATTGAATTAAATAGAGTTACGTGTTAGATTTCAAAGTGTTAAATATTATGTTTATTTTTTACAATTTGGTGGGTCAAATATGTAACTATTTTTCCTTTCCTAAGTAGTTTAGGGATACTACTGTAGATGTGAAATAATCTATATTTATTTATGTTTAATGGGTTTACGTAATGTAGAAAAACAACTGAAACATCCTTTTCTTTACCACTTAAACAGTTATGGGTTCAATAGTCACGGGTATCGACTTAAAGATACATAAACAAGATTCAAAATCATAGATTATTCTTCTTTCTCCTGCTACTATTTCTGGAGTTGAAATTGTATGCGATTGTATGCGAATACCTATAGTTTCGTTACAAACCCAGCTTAGCAAAATAACAATAATATAATACAAAACACATTCATGATAAGGTGGCGATAACTTCGTCCGGGCGTTGTCGATTCGTTGTACGGCATAGCCGTATACACTGCCGAAACATGAATACAAAAACATATTGTAGTCTCGCTTATTCTCCCTCAAAATACTGAGATAACAAAGTTTTTATGTAGAGTTCTTAGCTGTGGAACCCTACGGTATTAAAGTGGCTTGTTTATTGTGTAATTTTTTAATCCCTCTTTTATGTTTGACCTTTTTAAACATTCGAACTCTGTTTAATTTAGTTGTGTTACAAAGATCATACTTGTATTGTCGCTATTGCGACATTCTATCGATTAATACTTAGCATTTTTGATTATTCCTATTTATAAGACAATATTTTTCATATTTCTTAAATTATAAATAAAAAACAATAAGGTTATTAATTCGTACGAATTTTTTGAATTGTGTTACTACGTACCTCGCCCCTGGTGCTTTGATTTTAATTTTTTTTTTTTGAATATTAATTTTATCAAAATATCCTATGTACACATAGAAAATACATTTGTCTACCGTTATAGTTTGCTAAAATTTTATCACCATGAATACAGCCCTGGCCTATTATGTATGTACTCATGCAATTGAGTTCTTAAAGTGGCATTTAAACATTATGTACATGGTGTAACATCTTAATAACACTTTATTGGAGTATGTACTTCGAATCAATGTCTTTTAAATTAGATTCTGATGAAGACAAAGCAATGTAATGTAATTATTTATAGTAAACATGTTTTAGACATCGCCTTAAATTATGACGTAGTAAGTAGTACTGTTTGGAGTCTATTGTACTTTTACGTCATTGGATTTTATGACTATATCTCGTAGATTTGATTAGCTCCTATTAACGTTATTGGTTTGTGGTTACTAGTTACTATAAATACGCTAAGGATAAAATTAATAACAACTCTTATATTACAGTATTTTAGTTTCCTTATTCAACACACCTGACCATTTCAGATATACACAGAGCACAGATAACAAAACTAAGAAATAAATTAATTTTTAAATTATTATATTGCTGAGTTCATTAACTTTTTTTTACTTTTCAAACAAATGTAATTTGCTACAGTAATTTAAAGTGTTATAACTTGAATAATTTCTTGCGAAGAAAGAAGCGTGTGTTTTAGGCACTTTGTACACAAGGCAGCGTAAATCGTTGAAATTAACATTGTACGGTTGCATCGCGAGAATCGCGTTGTACACGCTGCGTGCGACGTTAAATCGCAGAGTCGTTCGGTACAGATATACTGACTATATGTCTACTGCATAAATTTACTCCGTCATCTTGAAAAATGCAGCGACTTTTCTCACAACGATCTTTGGCGATAACAGATAGAAATGTTGCCGACGCGCGTTGTGTACGAATCTCTAAATATTGTTTTTCATAAGTTGTCTGTTTCGAAGATTTACGTTGCCTTGTGTACGAAGGACCTTAGCTGCGGCACACGTGTCGTTGGCCGTCGCCCGTCCGCGTCGGCCGTGGCTTCCAATACATATCAATTGGGTGTCATTTGTCCGTCCCGACATCCAGATTGTTTTAGTATCACTCGACTGATATTCGATATTTATAGTTATCGATGGCGTTGCAGCATCGATTATTTCGGAGAAACGATGCCGAATTTTATGAAATTAGTTCTACTATCTATTAGTTATCATTACATTTATTGAGTTGAATAATTTACTAATTGTAGTGTTTAAATTTAAATTATCACATACAAAAAATATGAATTTAAATAATGATATAATAATTATATTATTGTTATTTACCAATAGAGATACGATATAAGAAGAGAAGACATATAGGCCAGTTTTATGAGTCAAAAATTAGGGTGGATGGTTAGTTAAAATAATATTCCAATTACAAATAACTCTTACTAACTACAATAGTTGTCCTTCAGTGGTTGAAGCTTTCTACTAAACAATTCGTACATAATAAAGCGCTCAATATATCCAGCGGTTAGGAATAACTAACTTTCAAGGAAGTTTCACAATGTAGACCGCTTTCCATTTGTATCGCCATCTGTTAGTGGTTTTTTCAAAAGTTTTTTTTCCTCGACTATTTTGTACGTTTAGGGTCGAGTCTGATAATGCGTGTTCGGACCTTTGTCACATTAGGATTGTAATAAAAAGTAGCAACTAGTTTATTCTTTTTGTATTTTAGGGATGTCAATCCTACTTACGTAAACTTTTAGGTCAAAGTATTATATTTAATATTTCTTAAAACATCATCAACCTGCCCTTAACCTTACGGAGGTAGGTACAGTATGTACTCCTCCATATATCTCTATCACCTTTCATATCTGAATCTACCACCTTCTTACGCATATCCTCTTTCACACAATCCATCTATAATTTCTTTGGTCTTTCTCTACCTTTGTAGCCATCAACATTAAATATTTCTAAAAATTTTAGTCTATAAATTTTTTAAATAAAACTGACAGTTTAAATCGCAGATCACAAAAGTGTATTATTAAAACAAGGCGGTTAATACCATAGTAGTCAATAATTTCTTTGCTGCGGTTAATTTAGTCTACATTTTATTGCGTGCATTTCTTTTGAATGCTGACTCAGCGCACAACGGCCACGACATTCAAGCATTAAATAGTCTTTATTGTACAAATGATATTCTAATATGCTTTGAAAATACCTTAAAATTATTCCTTAGAAATTGTTGGATCGCTTATATAAAGGGTAAATTTAAAAACATTGAAAGTAAATAAAAATATTAAATAATAAAATTAAAAGATATTTAATTCAATTGATATAAAATATTAAATGACAGTTTAATTGTTTTTAATATTCTTTTATTTGATTCATTAGCGATAACATAATGATTTTACTTAATTTAAACAAAGTAATATATGCCAATCTGAAAAAAAAAATCTATCGTACCAATAACCGAATTATCAAAACACTTTTACTACACAAAACCTTTACAAATTACACTTATCATGGGTTTCTGAGACCAAAATCTCTATTTAAAACATATCGTCATCTCTATCATTATCTTAAACAAAACAGAGATAATAATTTAAAACGGGGATTTTGGTATTTGAAACCCACAGTTAATGTTACAGTTTAATAACTATGTTTAAGTGATTATCAACATTATGGCAATGAAGAACTGAATTCTTAGTGTTAAATAATTGTTTACTTAGACATATCTATGTTAGCATATCAATAATAAGTGTTAATTTAAGTGAGAGTGAATTAATTTATAAGTGAGTAAGACTTTAGTGAAAATGTCGGAGCGTTTCAAGGTGACGAAGTTTGATGAGCCTTCAGGGAAGACGTACAAGAACTATGGAGCTACGTCGGCGGAAAGCGACGTTGAACTGAAAGGAAAGCTCCTACAAGACTCAGGTAAGTTCTATCAAACGATATTGCGTTGCCTACTCTGTCATAACATCTATATAAATATGTTGCCGATCATGTAAGCGTATGAATGTAGAAACTGCAAAAGAGGTGTATCAGGACCACACCAAATGGTGGTCTGTGGTCTCTACCTACCCTTCTGGGTTAGCTCACTTTTACTACGATAAAATATTTCCTTTGATTTGCTTAATACTATTAAAGACAGAAGCAAAAAAATGCTTTTTAGGTTTCCGTACCTCGAAAGTAAAAAAAAACGAAACTCTTATATTATATAATCACTTTGTTGTCCGTCCGTCGAGACCCTTATTTCATTGGATAAATTTTAATGATGCTTTAGTACATTATTGTTATAGATAGAGTTCTTCGTTTTCTTAAAACATTCATTGTATATTGTATCCATCCCCTACATCTACACGTGAATTCATAAAATGTTCTGATTGCGGAGGGTTGAACCCTCTCAATAAGTCTATTGTGACTACTAAGCGGATAAAGTGGGGGAGAATTTGATGCTAGTAAAATAATACTTGTCACCTTGACCTTGAATTATATTGTAAATATTTTTTAACAAAAAGAAATTAAAACTACGGTAAAATAAAGAGTTACGATCACTCTATTGTTTCAAACCGCGTATTTTTACATATTCTAAAAGATTCGTACCGAAAATATCGAGCTTGCGTGTTCTTTTAACATTTTTGTTGTATCGAATGAATGGTTGCGCAGAATATGTGTGTTAATAGAGGAAATATTTTGAATTATATAACAATACTAGCGGTTTACAGCGATTCCATCCGCGCTGAATTCAAAAATAAACTTAATTAGTAACCTATGTGTTCTTTCACACTCTGTTTTTTTCAGTTCAATTTTAGGCGAGATCTATTCAGCCGTTCTGGACATACATCGTTACAATCCATCCATTTAGACTTTCATTTATAATATAATAGTAAGATAAGTGACAATTGTCTCAAATACTAGATTGAATGTGGACGGCTACAAAGACCAAAAAAAGTATGGAATGACTGTGTGAAAGAGGATATGCTTAGGAAGGGGGTAGGAAGGGGGTACTCGGATATGACGGCTGATAGAGATGTATGAAGGAGTACTACTATGTGTACACATACTGTGCTGACCCTCGATAGGGATAAGGGCAGGTTGATGATGATGACAAGATATGTCGAGAACACGTTTAATTGAAGCAATAGCCTAATGGGTACAGATTTCCGAACACGTGGTCGAGAGTTCGAATCCCACCATTCGACTATTGTCGAAAACCATATCCTATCACAAGCATAGAGCTTAGTTGGAATGGTACAAGACATATAAAAATCTGCTAATATTTACTAAAAAAATATAGTTTAAAGTGATGCGATATAATTTGTTATACATGTAGTTGGCAACCTTGTTACTAAGTAACTGTGTGACATTTATACGAATCATTAAAATATTGTATATACTTTTTAATACAATAGTTCTCTACACATTTGTAATAAGACTTAAACCTTAAAAATATGCATATAAAATATTTTACAGCTATAAACTATCACGTCTTCACGAGATACTATCTATGTTAATTGTTTGCTTGTTTGTAAAGTTGTATTCATCATCATCAGTATAATGATACGTCCCCACCGAGGGGATCGGGGCCTACCCTAAGTTAAGGGTTATTAGGCCATAGTCAACCATGCTGGCCAAGTGCGGGTTGGTTGACTTCACACATATCTTTGAATTTCTTCTCAGATATGTGCAGGTTGCATTACCATTTTTTCCTTCACCGTAAGAACGTCGGATAAATGTACATATGTAAATCGGAATTCGAAAAACACATTGGTACATGGCGGGATTCGAACCTAGGACCTGCAGATTGCAAGTCAAGTGCTTGACCACTGAGCTACCGACGCACCAAGTTGTATTGGGTTGTCATTATTATTGTTTTGTAATTTTTTATTAGAGTATAAAAGATGCTCTATTTGTAAATCGTTCCTTTGAAATTGGTATAAATGTTGTGTTTTTAAATTATCGTAAGCTATGTAACATTTATTTGGTATGACAATAATCACCGTATAAAGTTGTATGTTGCATTACATACTTGCCAAACTCGATATTAACAAATTTTGTAATAATATCATGGCCGAAAATACTGCACATTTTTGATTAAGTAATACATACCAACATTTAGTACTTGTGTAACAATGATATTTCAACCACTAGCTAAAGTTCAAGATTGCAATATCCCACCCACTTTAAAGTAAAGTAAAATAAAAGTATAATTTAGTTTATGTAACAGTGGGGTAGGCAGAGACCACGGACTTCCATTTGGCATGGTCCTGACACACGACTTTTATTTTTTCTACAATATTCAAATACAAGTGACATGTATTTTGTATATTACTTCGACTTAAATTTCTAAAGGGAAATTATACTGAACAAAAATACCAAAATTAAAACAAAAATAAAAGTAAAAGTGAGATTTGGTTTAATGTCGGATTGCGTACGGGTTTTATCTTTGTGTATACAAACAACGCCTTGTATTCGACCAGTTGGGTGAGTTGGATTTACACCTGGGTACACAATTTATTTGTGATGTTTATCATTGAATTAATAATGGAGCGTCGGTGGCTCAGGGGTTAAGCAATTGACTTGCAATCTGCAGTTCCCAAGTTCGAATCCCGCTATGTACCGCTGTGTTTTGCGATTTCCGATTTGTATATGTACATTTATCCGACGTTATTACGGTGAGGAAGGTATCGTGATGAAACCTAAAGGTTAGGCTTCAAGCCCCTTGGTGGGGATATATAGTAAGCTACTGATGATGATGATAATAATGAATATAGAAGACATATACTTGCTTGCTTATCTGATGAATTTGTTACTGTTATTAATTATGTCGCGGTTTAATAAATGCGCATAAAAAAGTTGCAATTCTCTTGAATTCGATTCGATTTATTGTAATTAAGCAGCATAAAACACGACCGTTAATCTTTAATAATGTACTTCGAACATACAAATCTAATTCTTATGAATATTCAATAAATTATTGGAATTCTTATATTGGTTTATATTTTAAAGATTAATTATATAGTCTTAAAATTATATTTGCTACAGTTAAAAGTAGTAGCGAGATGGCGATTAATAAAATTTGATACTGTATGGTACTAAAACAAGTAAAAAAAGTTGCCTATATAATATATTAACTAAAGAAATAATCGAGTACTTAAAGGACGTTCTTAAGGAACTCTAAAATTAATTCATATTTACGTACATTAGAATCCCACTAAGTCCAAGGTTAATATTTACATAACAATAAAACATTAAATACCGTCGTTAATGCACAGTTAGTTACGATTCCATACGTCTTATCGTGGTTTTCTGAGATTAAAATCTGTGTATAAAACATATCGTCATCCCTGTCTTTCATTTTTACAAAACAGAGATATCAATATGTTTTAAACGGAGGTTATGGCGTCGGAAACTCACGGTTAGTGACCTTCGTAGTTCATGGTGTTTGTAGATTAGGTGCGATTATGTATCGAATTTATTTGTTATACAGTAGTTCTGAAAACGTTTTTTACTTATAATACAATAAGGTTACAAGTTTCTATCGAAAATAATGGAGTAGGTATAAATAAATGTAAAGTTAAATGTTATGCTCTACATTTTTATTAACACGGTTTTAGTGATGTGGTTTGATAATTCTAGGGGAATAGATACCAATTTATAATTCGCTAATATTAAATGAATAAATCAAGATATAGGAAGTCTTCATTTGTTTTATAATATTTATTTATTCTCATTATTATTTGAATTCTCGGAATCACAACTCTATAATTTTAATTGAACCAAAGGATTCATGCATTTTCATAGAAAAATAATGGAAGTTATTACTAATCCTAGTAAATTTAAGAAAATTAGTACTTTAATGTTAAAGGTGTAAGTACATATATGTACTTTAATTCGGAATTAATTTACTTCAATCTTTTAACGAGTAAGTCATTCGTGTAGTTTCTTTGATCTCTGGGTACAGTGGGTCTTTATTCAAGTTTCCACTTATGTCGTCATAGTGGGTTCGTTATCTAGATCCGCCTGACTTTCAGCAGAGGCCTCTTACGAAGGCAATTAGCAGGAAACGTCTTTTATGCTGCCTTTTGACTTTCGCACAACGTTTCAGTGATATGTGTTCGTAGTTTTCTACGAATGAGAGACACAGAAATAAGGGATATTTATTTTTCACTAAAAATATAAAAGATAAATATTATGTAAATTATACAAAAACTTGTCATCTCTTTCACTGTCTTAGAATAAATAGAGTCAACGATATGTTTTTCACGTGTGCTTCGACTCTAACTCACAGCTAACAAAATTATTTACCTCAAAGTTTACTTTATCGAAAACCCATTGGTGCTGATGCTTGTATGAATAAATAGCTGTCTCCCACGACCCCGTCCGCGCAGAATTAAAAAACTTAATTAGTAGTAATTGTGTTCTTCCAGACTATGTTCTACATTTGTGCCAAATTTCAGTCAGATCCATGCAGCCGTTCTGGAGATACCTTCAACCAAACATCTATTCATCTATCTAAAGATTCGTATTTATAATATTAGTAAGACATTACACAATATTTTTCTATTATAATAAACGAAAAATATATGGATTCGTAATAAAATTTATGTATCGTATTTACATCAAGAACAATACCTAAATCACGCATCGATTAGTTGTCAAGTATTGAAATGAAGCCCTCCAACGTTAATTGCATTCAGTAAAGGTACTTTAGAGGAATAGTAAATGTGACCTTATTGAAACAGATTAACCTCTATTGTGAGTGTAGTGGAGCACACAAAATGCAGAAAACAATACTCTACTCAGGATAATTAAAAAAACGGAAAAAAACGCCAAATGACTTTTTGTTGCGTTCCCGTGATGAATGGAAAGTGAATTCGTTTTTCTTATTGTTTGCTCCGGAAAATAAAACAACTATTCCTACTTAATATATT